TAAAATTGATTTTCAAAAAAATCCGTTTTTTCGAAAAAACTCAGCAATCCTTGAAATTTTTAAAACTTTTTTGAGAGCATCTTGGTGAATATCCCAAGACGCAACTTTGCCCCAATTTAACCATCTTCTTATCTATTACGGTTTCCGAGATACCAATGCTCGTACCTTGAATTTGTAGCACCCTGTATATATCGTATACCAAATATATCGTAGACATAGAACTACTACGTATTTTTGAAATAAAATGGAAATAAATTCATTGTACACAATTTACCTTTATACAAAAGTACTTCGTTTGTCCGTTAGAGGGCATAAAATTTAAAAAAAAATACATTTTTTAAGATATTTTAATATCTTAAAGAATGTGTTTATGAAAACAAACATGCATTCAATAAAACGCTAATAAGAGGTACACATTTTTCAACTAGTTGCCTAATTTGTAACCAGGAAATGTTGAATGAACTGAAGTAACGAATAATAATTATTTTTAGTCATATTATGACTTCAAATCCGCTGAGAAAAAATATTTCCATAATATACAACTCAAAACAAAATATATAATACGTAATGTTTTCGAGATAAGCAATGTTAAGAAAAAGAAGAAAGAATTTAAAGTTCAATTGATTAATTAGAGATCTAGATCTGTTGGTAAATTAGGGTTAATATAAACAACACATTAATAATAATTTCGCTAATTATAATTTTATCATTTTATATGATAAAAATTTACATTTATTAATTGATAGTAATTTATAAAAGTATTCTGACTTCACTTAATCTTTATTTACCTACATACAGATCAGACAGTTCAAAATACCCAACAAACCTCACCATAAACAGAATATCCCCACCGAATAGAATGTGTACATAAAAATTTGATTGATTTGAGTAGGAAAAAGCATTAAGAAAGTGAGCTTTATGTCTACATTTCATATCTGAAGTCATATATTACTGCCCTAAAATGTACAGGGTGGCTCGAATTCGACGCTCATCATTGGGATTTCGGAAACCGTAAGAGATACAGGATCGGTTAAATGGAGGCAAAGTTGCGCAATTTGATGCTCAATAAAATGCCGTATTGCATTTCGAAAAAAAAACGGAATTTTCAATTTTGTTTTCTATTGTTTCCTGGCTTTATTTGTTAAGATAACTTAAAATGAAAAACACATTTTCGTGGTCACTTTTTCTGCTCTATAACTCTGTGTGATTAAATATTGACTCTGATGTTTCGGCTTCTGCGGTTCATTGTTTCTTATCAACCGGACAATCTTGATATTTCTCCCTCTCTATTCCGAATACCAACAAAATTTAAAAGCAAATAAATGAATGAAGGAGGTCCGCATTTTCGTTGGACGGTTAGATGCGATATGTAGTCTTTTATTTGTAGTACAGGAGTCAAGATCATAAATATATTACTAAAAAATAGAGCCAACTAAACGACTCTTGCTGAAGAAATGCAAGATTGGAATGAATTAACAAGGAAAGAAGGATACGTAACATTTATGTTCCATATTATGGAACATTCCCTTTTTTGCTGTTTTGAAATTTAATATTTCAGATATAAAAAAAAATCAGACATACCAAGAAGAAAAAAAAATATTTCTACCAAGAACAGAACAAACAAAAAATCAAACCATGTATAAAAAAAGATTGTAAATGAACTTAAGGATAAAAATAATTTGTCTTTGGTTTGACTGATGGGTATAATAAGGCAGAGACAAAGATTGAAATTGAAGAGAAAATACTAGGCATTGGAAATAAAGGAAACAAACGACGACTTAAGCAAAACAAAGAATAACAACAATATTGTGTTGAAAATGAAACTTAGCAATGCTGAAAAATGAGGAAAAGATGTTTCTATGCAAGATAGTTGAAAGAAGAAAAGTTGAAAAAAGTAAAAGTAAAGGCTGTTGAGGCAACAAAATCGATTAGTATGTATGCAGATAAAAATCGATTCATTTTTTAAATCCATACAATTCAAGTTTTAACTTGAATATAAGTAATATTTATATCAATTTCACATTTGTTGACATTTTTATGTATTAAGTATTTAATGTGTATAAGGTGCGTAGTTACTTAATATGGACATTGTAGTAAGTAGTAACTGAGTTATTTTATGGGTGCATATAGGTACAAGGTACAGGGTGGATCACAGGAAGTGTGGAAGCTTTTAACCCTCAAGTACTCGCGTGGCGCCTCACAGGACCTTTATGTATTCCTGGACGCAATATTTAAAAATAGAATAGACTTGAAAATTCAATATAATATTAATTTGTTTCAGGCTTATATATAAACCATGCACCCTCTGGTGGGCATCTACGGCCTGAGCTAATATGCTCCAGGTCAAAAAATAGACACGTTTTAGACACTAAAAACAAATATGTTTTAATTGTAAGAAAGATATATGTTCAGACCATTCCAAAAATGTGTGTAATGAACGTTTTCAAAATGACAAATTTTGTTCTCCTGCACTCCTGCAAATTTTGCGATTAGGCAATTAGAAATAAAGCTTCATATAAACCATATGTTTTTTAACTAACTACTTTTATTAATTTAGTAACTTTTTTTTAAATAAACGTATTACATATTCTCTCAATGCCTAAATATTTCTATTTAGTTTATTTTTATATACTACGCGCCTCGCGAGTACTTACGTCCGTAAAACATACGCGAGTACTTAAGGGTTAAAGGGAAATACCCTTTTCTATAGGAGATAGACCGAAACTAATATCCGTATCTGAAGCTCAATTTTATCAAAAACATGATGGTGAAAACCGCACATCGATATCTGTTACCGTTAGGGGGTGTTTTTCAAAAATGTTCATGTTTAACAGATCGCTATAACTTTTTTGCTATGGAAATGTTTCATTTTCAAAGCACCTTTTTACGTAGAATTTAATGATTTAAGTATAATTTTTTTAAAATTAATAAGTTAAGTGTTATCAACAAAAAAATTGATTTTTTATTTGAGACACCCTGTATATTTTTAATTAACTAAAAAGAACATAATATTACCTTTCCAAAAAGATAGCACACTTGATATTTTGTTATAGTACCCTTCGAAATACAAAATTTTAAAAAGTTCGCCACTTTTAACTAGTAGGCTTTGGATCCCTTATTGAAGATCTGCCCCTAATGGAACTCGAAAACAAATTTTTCTAGCAAGGCGAGGTACCGCCTCAGAACGCTGAAGTTATCAGCAAATTTTTGCAGTCAGTTTCGAGAATAATTGAATAGCTAACCAAGATCCCAGCCGTTGGCCGTCGAGGCCGCCGAACTTAGTGCCTATCGATTTTTATTTTTGCGGAAAAATAAAGGTTTTTATTTTTAAATAGCCTGTATAATCTAGAGGGTATCCTATGCGAGGGTATCTTTCACGCCTAGTAAGTTAATGAATTCCGCGAGAAATGTTCAAAAACGGTCCCGACCAAATCTCATGTCTTTGTTTGCTATTTATTTTTATTGTTATTATTGCTCATTATTTTTATTGTTATATTGTTTGTTGCACATAGCTTAAATTATAATAAAATTCTGCATCTCTCATTGCAAATATTATTTTTGTTTTAATTGCGGCTCACAGCTAGATTCTTTTTGCATTACTGCCGGCGCCGTTCAAAGCCTACTTATTCAAAGTGGGCGAATTTTTATAAACTCTATATCGCGAAGAGGAATTTTGCAAAATATCAAGTGTGCTATACTTTTGGAATGGCAATTTTAAATTATTTTCAATGAATTAAAAATATACAGGGTGTCCCATTTAAAAAATCAAATTTTCTGTTGATAATTCCTAAATATTAATTTAAAAAAAATATACTGAAACCATTAAACTCTAGGTAAAAATGTGTTTTGGAAATGTTTTCATAAAAATACAAAATTTTCCATAGCAAAAAAGTTACAGCGATTTGTCAAAAATGCACATTTTTAACAACGCCCCGTAACTCCGAAACGGTAACAGATATCGATGTACGGTTTTCACCATCATGTTTTTGATAAAAATTGAGCTCCAGACACCCATATTAGTTTTCGTCTAGTTCCTATAGAAAAGGGTTGGGTTTGATCTATCCTTTACATGTAGGCACAATAAAGCACAATAATTTCTAAGAACAAAAAGAAGTTTTAATGTGTATTATAAAGTGTTTTGGCTTAAACAAACATGTGTTTAAATTTTAAGTTTAGTTTGGAAACACTAAAAGTATGAAGAATAAACATCAGAAAAATATTCCTCCAGTAATCCTTTATTAATTTGGCCGTGACTATTCCGATATGTATCCGAACTATCGAAGTTCTACTGTATTTCCAAAAAATTGTTTTTTTTTCTGGAATTTTAAACTACACTATAAAAAGAAATTACAACCTTTTTATGGTCAACTGGCCAGGAAAACCAACCAAACTTAACCAAATTTGACCTTTTTTCTTTTGTTGCCTTGAGAAACAATATTAATATATCAAATGCAAAATCGTAAGCCAGTAATAATAATATTGATAAGAATGCATATTAAAATTTCTCTATGCAACAAATAACAGGGAAAAATAACAAACAAAATAAAAATATGCTACAAAATTTGATATAACCTTTTTTCGTTCAATCTCTACAGGATTCCCGGTTTCCGGTCTTGTCGGTCAAATTTTTGAACTTTTAACGCCGCGAAATTAATTTGACATTTGGTTCCGCAATTCCACGCTTGCGAGGAACCACCTTAAGGCTTGACATCGCCAAAATTATTATCGATTGTCATCCCTCAGCCATCTTTAACGCTGTGTTTTTGATATTATGGTATATGTCACTATGCGGGATAATTTGATAAATTATTTTCAATGGCAATAACAGAAATTACCATTAACCATCGCAGTTACGCTATTTGCCTGCATTATCAACCAAACAAAAGAGCATCGAACAACCTGCAAGACCAGCTTGTGGCAGAAGAGTATTCTAGAAAAGCTAGTACCGCCGGTAGAAGGGACCGACACCGAGCTGCCATTGGTCAGTGAAAGTCCAGTTCGGTTAAGTCTACTATGGTCTAACCCAGCTTAGCAATCCTGCAAATCTATATATTGAATTGCCGCATGGGTGATCGAAATATTTCGGTTTCTGCTTGCGGCCCGGTAAAAACGCGAACGCACTCTTTGCTTTTTTCCTCTATTGTATATCGCAGCCGCTGGTGAAGATTTATAGCGCGCGCCGGTACTTTGTTTACATAGCGAAAGTAGTAGCAAGTTCATTTGTTTAAACATCCGAACGGTCAACGGTGGTGCAATATTTGTTTGAATAAGTTTTTATTGCTTCTTCGATTTTTCTTTCAACCGTCCTGCGATTGGATTTGATTTTTATTGTAAGTTTTTTTTGTATTGTATTTTCGTTAAATTTTTGTTCAGTGTTTTGTGAAGGCAAGAAACTACAATATTATTGTTGGACTATAAGTAAAACAAAATATAGGAAGCAATGTTAATCAGTGCAATTTCCTAAAACATATAGATTTATCACCAATATCTATATTTTAAATTCAAACTTAATTAGTGTATTATTATTATTTTCATTCAAAGGGTGTTATTTTTTTGCTCTATTCTTTTAGTAATTTATGATTATAACATTTAAAAGTCTCAACAATAGTCAAAATACAGAGCTACCATTTTATCGCTACCAAGATCGCTGTCATTTTATAAGTGAATTTATATGGGAAATGTCATCTATCGTCATTTCCCAGCCAACTGGACGCCGTTTTTTTTTCGATCATACAGTATAATACATGTACTGTAATTTTTTTAAATTTTTTAAATCATTTATTAAAAGAATAAAACAAATATTAAATTAATTTAACTTAAAATATTTAAATTAAAAGAAATATATTAATTAAAAAAGAAGTCAAAGGATCAAAGAGTATCCTGACAGTCGCCCATATCCTTATATAATGTGAACATTTGTCCCAATTTAGAACTAGTCTTCATCTTAATTACTCCCTAGGAAACTGGATACCTACTACTCCAAGATTTAACGCCCCTAAAGAAAAATTAAATTAATAACTAATTAAGTCAAACCACGTCTTACATTTTCAAAAAAACACAATTTTCTCCTTAAATGTACATTTAAGATCGCTGTCATTTTATATGTGAATTTATATGGGAAATGTCATCGATCGTCATTTCCCAGCCAACTAGACGTCGTTTTTTTTCGATCATACGATATAATACATGTACTGTAATTTCTTTATTTTTTTAAAGCATTTATTAAAATAATAAAACAAATACTAAAATTAAATTAACTTAAAATATTTAAATTAAAATTAAAAGAAATATATTAATTAAAAAAAAAATAAAACGATATTTTTTTTAATATAATATATCATGTAACTGCATATATTTTACGTTATTGAAATAATTACATAGATAAATATAGTTTCAATAAGGGATAAAATCATGAATAAATAATATATTAATATTGTTAATAAAATAAAACATAAAAAAATCTTAAAATTATTAATAGCGCTAAATTTCTTATGTACTATCAACGGTACTATGTACATAAATATTATTTCAAATATTTTAGGTTTATTTAAATTACTACAGACAATAATCACATAATTATAATATTAATATATAAGTACACAATTAATTTTAATTTCTATATATTTTTATTAATTATTTATTTATATTTTAGGTAAATTATTTTCATTTTTAAACAATGTTTAAATTATTAAAATAATTATTTTGATAATAATTATTGAACACATGTTTTAATTAATTAAAATTAAACTAAATTTAATTACCAATCTCCAAACTATTTTAAAAGAATATATGACAAGGATATGACTAAAAAATTTTACACAAGAAGAGACTGGGAAATTTAAATACAAGAAAACATTGTGATTTTTTCTAAATTATTTATTACAATAATATTTTTAATTAGTTTTATTTAGCAAATTCATTAAATATTTAAATAATAATTATTGGTATCATGTGTTTTGATAAATAATCTTCATAATTATAATAGTTCTAAATTATTTCCTAAACTAGACAAATAAATATTTTTTTTCTTATTAAATAAAATTATTTTTATTATTAAATAATTTATCCATAATGTTTTAATAGTTGCAATAACAATTTAAAATAATATATTTAGTTTTATTTTTATCTACCTAATATATAAAATTTTCGTGTCACACTTTTAGTTACTATAATAATGAAAATTTTTATGTATATTTTTAGTACCTAGATCTAGGTTGTTATCTATTTTTTATGTTCGTAAGTGATATTCCTCAATTTTTTTTATCATTTTTTGGACAACATTTTTTATTTTTATTTTTTTATGAGGAGGCCTTAAAAATACATAAAACCCCAAATTTTCACCCTTCTACCATTAACCCCTATTTTTTAATAGCGATATTAGTAATTCAATAAATTTCAACCCCTTAAATAAAAATGACAAATGTTAAATATTTATACTTATTGCAAAACAACGTTTGCCACGTCAGCTAGTATAATATAAAATTGATCTCACACTACATTAACTAATTTTTAGGTAGAATCACAATATAATGCATACAATTATTAATTAATTATTTCATTAATTCAGTAATTTATTAAATTACTTTTAACTGAGAAAAAAAACGAAGAAAATTTGTCCCAAATATGTTAGGAACTAATTTATTTTTTACAAATTGTTAATTTTTTTATGCATACATAATATTAAATAAAAATATATTAAACAATCTAGAAAACGTCTTCATTAAATTGTTTTATAAAAATTTATATGGTAATAAATTTTTTCATCGCAATTAATTAAGTACTTATTTGTTTAAGTACTTTATTACTATGCATTTTTAAAAGCTTTTAAATTTGTTTATTAATAAAAGGTAAACAATTATGCAATAAAGCAAAAACTATTTAAACAATATTTACATATCAATGTTTTTATATATTTATCATTTTAAATGTGCACTATGATCGAATTCAGCGCAGCGCATGTATACTTAACTTAAGCATTTCTTATTTTAGGTTTAGGCCTGTTTTTCCTTTTAAATTCCAACTATTACAAACAGATACAGAGAACGTGTCACACTTTTACAATTTAATAAAATGGAAAATTCTTCTAATTGCTCAAGATATTTATTTTATAATACGAGTAGTAGGCTGTTGTTATTTCTGAAACCGTTTTTTGCAAATAGGTCAACTTAGTATAACTATTTCTATTTATTCAGGTGGAAACCTTTGGTGTTACAACAGAAAATTGGTCTAATTTACCAGAATATAAATTTTGTTGTGAACGTGCGTCAAAAGTGCAGTATATTGTCACAAATTAAGCAAATTTTGCGATTCAAAAGTCGACTTTTTTTTAAATAAAACATTAAATATCGGTTGAAATATAAAAAATAATATTTTTTAAACGCTTTTAAAGAAATATAAGGTACAAGTGCAAATATTTTTAAGGCTGTATATTGCGACCCTAGAAACGTGTCTATGATGTTCTTTTTGTGAAAAAAAAAATGAAAATTTGGAATATTTTTTTTAATTATTAGTTAAAATCAAAATATATTGATAAAGTGGCAATATCGGTAGTAGATTAAATTAAAAAGAAGAAAGCCAGAAATGATCCAGTGGTTATCAAAATTTAAACAAAAATATATTTTTTTAAGTTTCCAAGTTTGGATTTCTCTAATAAGCTCTGGAATATCAAAAGTATTTTCTTTAACAGTCACGCTACTGCAAATCTAGACAGATCAAAACAAACCATCTTAAATAGGATTATGATTGGTCACTCTCTTTCTCCATTATATGAGGGGAAAAAGAAGTCAAAGGATCAAAGAGTGTCCTGACCAGTAGCCCATATCGTTATAGAATGTGAACATTTGTCCCAATTTAGAACTAGTCTTCATCTTAATAGCTCCCTATGAAACTGGATACTACTCCAAGATTTAACGCTCCTAAGGAAAAATTAAATTAATAACTAATTAAGTCAAATCACGTCTTATATTTTCAAAAAAACACAATTTTCTCCTTAAATATACATTTAATATATAGGATGTGCTTAATAAAACCAAAAAAAATATGCATTACAAAGAAACTTCGTTCTATTATGATACAAACTACAGGGAAATACACAATACATTTAAAATAGTGGAGAAAAATACATATAGTTTTGATCCGCCCTGTATAAATCTTAAATTACCTAAAATTGAAGAAAATAATGTTTTACGTGTTTTCTTTAAATAATCTCCCATGATAATTAAGTAAATACCCTCAAATTATCTATTATATCCTAATCCAATATTGGATGTAATATTGATTTTATTATTATTTTATATATTACTTACCATTTTATAAGCAATATCATTTAAACTTTAAGTTACGTAACCGAGAGCGCGATTTTTCAATTCATTGTTGCCAACCATGGACATATTGGGCGCCGGGCTGACTAACGGGAATTTAAATTTACCGCTGGGGATTCAGGTGGTAGTTCTGCTGCAAAAAATATCAAGTGGTCACATTTATTTATTTCTTGACATTGTCATTCGTTTTGACACTTTAGTGTTGTACATAGTGTTGTATTACGCGTTTTTGGTTTAAATAAATTGTGTTGTTAAGCTTAAAAAATTTTACTAGCAGACCTTGCAGTCAAACATTGTTCTTTTTCGAACCTCTTTTACTGCGAAGTGTACAAGATAGCTTGATAGGCGCTGCAAAAAACTCATCGCAATCTCATTAGAATATTTTGAACGGGAATAATGCGGCAGTAATGACCCTTTATGTCCTTTAAGTGCTGTTAAAAAGGTGAGTTTTGCTGACGTAACTAATAACTGTTGGTAAATTTATAGTTAATTTATTTTTGTTTCCTAAAATATTTTGAATAAAAGATAGAATATAGATGTATATGTATGTAAAAGTGCGCAACACTGTGCCGGTCAACTATATTTTTAAATTATTTCTACCATAACGAATATACGTACAACTTAACAAGTATAGCTAGAGACGTGAGAAATATAAAATAACACGGAACCGGTGCTATCCCCAAGTCTCTTCCTATATTTGTACAACTGTACTTAAACTTAAAACATTCTTCCCAAAAAACAAGTTAAAGAAAAACTTAATGATTCTTAAGCTTAGTTTAACTACTGTTATAGATAATATAGATTATAAGACCCTGTATAAGGACGTCTTAACATTGCATCCGCCAATTCTAAAGGTAGTGGAAATTTCCATCGGCCATTTTTTTCTTCCTTCTCGTTTAGAGCCGGTTTTGAGCAAACCAAAACGCAAAGTTGGGAAGTCAGTCCCAGCTAAACGAGTTCTTATATGTAGTTTTATTTTGTAAATGCTGAAAATTTCCGTAAAGCAATTA